TAGAGCATTAGCCCTTTATTTACTGAAAGAGACAGATGTCTGTCAGAATTTTTGATATGCAATATATCAAAAAAATAATGAACTTCACAGATCTTTTTATTTCTGTCTACTGAAGTGCTTCTGTATTTTCTTGGTGGATGTGAAATGAAAGAAGAGAGAATTTTCTCTGTTTCACAATAATAAGAATTAACAGGACATGAGGTATTCAGCACAGGTTTGTTTCTGGTGATAAGAAATATCTTGTTTCCTTGGCCAAGAAATGAGAAATCCGTTTTTTTTTTTCCTATTATATTTTCTATTCTGGAGAGATGCTTTGCATCACTAGTTCTGAGGCTTGATAGCACTGAGAAGTATGACATTCAGTCATTTTTTTGAAAATACCACAGTGCAATTCATCATTGGGTAGAGGCGTAAGAAATATTAATTGAGCTCTTTCTTTATGCTGGGCATTGGAGATACAATAAGGAATAAGGTCAAAACTTGAATTTGAATTCCAGCTCTACCACTTATTAACCAAAGAGCCATGGGTCTTTGTACCTGTTTCCCCATTTGAAGAGTTAAGATAATGACAATATCTACCTCTTAAGATTGCTGTGAGATGAATAAATTCGAATTGTATGCAAAACTGTAGTGCAACTTGTGGCACATGGTACATGCTTAGTGAATATTAGTTCTTATAACAGACATGGTGCCTGCCCTTGGGGAGATTCCATTTGCGTTATTTATGTCCTCTAACGTGCACTTCCATGTAGAGGTAGTGACAGAAATGAAATGGAGAGTGGGAACACAACAAACACTGTTTCACTGAGCTTACATGTAGTGAGACCAGTGTTTGATATTAGACAAATGACAGGATTCTGCCACCTGCCAGTGTTAATCTTGGTCAAATCCCTTTACCTTTTGAGTTTCAATTGACTCATCTCTGATATGGGAATAATAAATACCACGTCATAGTGCTGTTTGAAGAATTAAGTGATTCATGCGAAAACATTTTGTTACATTATAAAGTGCTATACAAGTATAAAGTATTATTTTGAACTTTTGATTATCCACTTATAGATGACTTTGTGGATGATGCACCAGCAAATTTGCATCCAAGACTGATTTTTTTCTTATTTGCTTAGTTTGCCTTTCTGCCATCTTCCTTACTGCCCGGCTGGTCTGTGATAAGGGTACCAAAATGTATTTTAGTAGTCTAAGCCAAATGTAACCAAGAAAATAATTGTCTAAAATACTACTATATTTTGATGAACAAATATTTATTTATATATTATTTAATATCTTATAACCATCTTATGTTTCTCATAAATGTCTTTTTATTTATATATTATGGAAATATAGAGGGCTCAGTGTATTATACATTCTACTCATTTAGAACATTTAAATTGTAGATAGAAAATGTGTTGCATGTCTGATAGTTTAAAAGAAAAGAAAATTTAAGCTACATTAAGTACAATTTCGTAGTTCTTAGCTTGGGCATTAACAATTTTGGGCATGCAACAACTTATTTCTCATTGTAATTTGTATGTCTTCATTGTAATTTGCAATGCAATTTGAAAAAACTTGGCAATGTGTGCATATGCTCTCTCATCCATACCTTTTCTAATTAAAGAATGCAATTCAAAAGTATTGCATATGGTGCAGATATGGATAGAACTAATGGCATCTTATTTTTCTAAACAATAGCATGACTATATATTATATCTATTTTATGAACTGTTGGCAAAGGAAAGGAAAATTTACCAGTCTTTTTTTCCTGTTTATTCCTTTTATGCAGAATAAAATTACCCTTAGTTTGAATTTGTCATTTACTCTAACCACAGGATATAGCCTATGTCATTAAGTTTGACAAAGGACAACAATGAAATCACTTTAAGGAAATATATAAACATATTTACAGAAGCTGAATGGAGAATAAAAATAGTTTGGGGATTAAAAGTGAGGAGAGAAAAGGAGAGAAACTAGTTCCAAAGAGGTTTGGAAATGAACAATGACAGCTCTAATGTCAGAATACAGGATATTGGACCAGACTAAAAGACAGGAGGTCCTGAAGAAGTCTTAGCACAGTTGTCATCGTACAATTCATTTATTTATGATCTCATTACAGAGAGGAGAGAGGGAGTATTTTTGGCCTGTGTTTTTAGATCATCTGAGGCTGTTTTATAGCAACAAATTTTTCTTGCCAATATAACCCTCAAGACTATCCACATACTATTTCTTCTTTTCCTTTTTTCCCTACATTTTTACATTTAATGAGTTGGAGATACAAATTGCTCATAGATTTAATTTTCCTCTCCATCTATTGAAATATTTAAAGACATGATGCAGATAATGCATTGCACATATGATTCTATACAGTAAATGCAGATTCTATTTCACCACTTTTTTCTTTTTACTGCATGCTTAAAATATCAAGAAGCAGAATTAATCACCTTTATTTGGATTATGTATTAATTCAGTAGCAGGTTTCCTGAGTAATTATTATGTGCCAGGCACTGTGAGGATGTGAAGGATACAGTAATAAGCATGTTTCTTGTACCTATGCAGTTTGTTTGTTTCAGAGGAGGGAAGCATCTAGAATCAGAATTACATGATGGACAATGACTGGCTAATCCTAAATGTTACTGAGCTTTTCAATGACAAATTACGTTTGCCTTGCCAGTTTTTGTTATGGGAATATGATTTGTGTGTGCTTATTTCAACTTAAATTATGGAATTATTTTATTTCAGTCTTGAAAATAGCAAATAAATGATAAATGAGCTACAGCCAGTCATGACATAGCCAAGACCATAATAATTTTCTCCAAAGTAGAACTGCCTAATAAATCTTAATTTTGAGTAACCAGCAAGTAACGGAGGCAAGCTTTACTTGTGCTACAGCTGAGGCTAATTTCTCTGAAATGAGACCAGGACTAGAGAATTAAAAGCAAAATTTTTACCTAATGACAATTGAGAAAATAGAGGTAAAAGTCCTTTAAAAAATAAAAATGTCCATTAAGTTATAAGACAGTGCTTACAGAATGTAATAAATACCTTATCAATGCTTTTTATCACATATTCCATCTTCCTCATTAAGTATTTTTTAAAGAGAGAAATACAAGTCATCAAGAAGTTAGGTTATTTGCCCGTAAGTATAAGACTACCTAGGAGTTTTATGGGAAATAAGACTAAAGTTGTCTGAGTGTACATTTGATGTTGTAAAATATAATGCCTCATATATAATTTTCAAAAGGAGATATGGTTAGAGCTATTTCAAGGAATAAAATTAGTTCTAGAAATTTCTTTGTAGGCTAATCATTGAAAAATGTCAACTTTAGTATGACTTCCTACTCTCAACCTCTACCTTCACTGTAATGGGCCTCAAGTCCAAACTTTTGTGACTATTGATTAAATGATTTTTTAAGGTGTTTAGTTAATTGCTTCTTCTAGGTGTCAGTCTGAACAAAGGGTTGTTAGTACTCTAGTCATGGCATGAAGTGCATCTCTTAGGTATAGCTTTTAACTGACCTAGAATGAGGCATACAGTCCAGGGAACTCTGCAGGTACTTGATAAAGATTGAAGATAATGATAAATTAGAACAGTATAATAGTTTTTAAAAGAGCCCTGGAAACAAGTGTTAAAAGTAAGATTTGTAAACTAGTGAGATAAGGAATCTAAAAAAGATAATCCCATTTGCAGCTTCCTAAGCATAACTTTTGATATATACCAATTTTGTCTTCTAACACATCCTGATATTCAGGTTTCAAAGAAGTCAAAGGAGAGAAATGAATATGATTTTGACAGTAATTGAAGACATGAGCTTAGGTCAAAGCCCAGAAATCTCACTGAAATGTAATTACCCAACACAACATTTCCCCCTTGTTTTGAAACTTGCCGAGAGTTTTAAATTTATTTATTGTGCCTAATATGTCAGTTTACCCCTTCCACTGAAATTATCTTACATTTACATCACTTGCAGTCTGTGTTAAGTTTACGTTATGAACACATTCTTCCCTGACTCTTCCTCTCCCTTTTATTTTTTTGATTGGTGCCTTTTTTTTCTTGTTGTGATCTGGGCAAATTGTCTCTGATGAGACAATTGTTTATAAGATAAAGAAGATGCTGCTTGATGAGTTTTGTGAATATGTTAGAATTTCCCAGAATTTTCCCTGACTTGTATTTATCAGTACCTTAAAAATAATAATGGATTCTAATCTGAGAGATCCATAGCCGTAACATGTTTGAGGATCTCAGTTTATTCTCACAAGAGTATGTTGAAAGACTCAGTTAAGAATTTCAGGAAAGGCCAGAACAGGTGGCTCATTATTTGTATCAGCCTTCTAATACAGATTTTTCTGAAAGTATTTTTCCACAATAATATAAAATATTGATGAGTAGGAGGAAGAGAAGTTTCTTCAATAAGGATTGCAAATCCATTTATTCAGGGAGAGAGCAGTCTCTGTTAATGTGTAGCCTCATGAGGTACATTTCTCATAAGACTGACAAGATATGGAAAACCTTAGGCCTTGGGAAATGAGTTGCAGAGTAGTTTCTTCTGAAGAGATGAATTCTTGAGATGGGTAAAAAGCAAGAATATTACATTAAATAGTGGTATAAAGCAGAATACTTTATAAATGAAACTAGCCAAATTATTGGAAAGCTTTCTGATTACCTACCTGCCTTTCAAATGGAAATATTGGTGTTCTTATTATGAATATTGTATTTCCTATGTCTGTAGTTTGGAATGGTATGTTTATTCAATCTTAGCTTGATTAACTTTTGCCTTACTTTTTCCAAGTTTGTACTGTATTTTTAAGCTTATAATATGATTGCTTTTTAAAAATAATTTTACTGGAAGAATGGGTTTGTAAAAAAACATAATTTTCAATAAAGCAAGTATGAGTGAAATAAATTATTTACTTTCAGTTTGCAAGAGGTGAATAAAAAGTGCTTGGCCAATACCGTACCATTAATCTATTCTCTTTTCTCCTTTCTCTCTTTACTTCTCTCTCTCCAATAGAAGTGGAACAAAAAGGTAATTAAATACCTTTCATAAATTATATACTATTTATAGGCTAAGTTATTTAACAGCTTAACATTTAGTTAAAATAATTTTGTTATTAATTCTTATCTATTTTATGAAAATTTATTTACTACTTCTGCTGCTCAACTTCACTTTAATCTGTTGTACTGACCAGTGCTGGTTTGATCCTTTGGTCCTAAAACAGTTTAATAGTGTAAATTTTCAACCATGTATTTTATTACTCTTTATTTTTAAGTAATCAGGAATCCTGTAGATGGTGATGGAGAGTGATTGCTTTAGATTTTTTATTTCTATACTAGATAATTTTCCATAGCTCTGGTGTGGTTTCCCCTGTTCCTTTAATTTTCAACTAATGGGGGTGAAGGTGGAGATGGTTTTCTGAAATACCTTAAAATAAATTACTTAAGTAACCAAGGGCTGATTATTCACTAACATAAAGTTTATATACAATATTGACAGCAATGCCTACCCATCCTTTATGACTATAGTTATCATATTAGAATCCTGAGAAATTTTCCTTTTTTTGAGGAAGGTTAGCACTGAGCTAACTACTGCCAATCCTCCTCTTTTTGCTGAGGAAGACTGGCCCTGAGCTAACATCCGTGTCCATCTTCCTCTACTTTATATGTGGGATGCCTACCACAGCATGGCTTTTGCCAAGCGGTGCCATGTCAGCACCCGGGATCCGAACCAACGAACCCTGGGCCGCCGAGAAGCGGAATGTGTGCACTTAACCACTGTGCAACCAGGCCGGCCCCCTGAGAAATTCTTCTAATCATCAATTTTGTTATTGAGTATAAATTGATGATGGCCCTCTATCCTTGCTATGGAAGATTTTGACAGTCAACTTTCCCCCCAAACTTTTCATTTCTCCAAAAGTAAAACTTTGGGCATTTTAATAATGTACTTTCCTTTTTAATAACCTCTAAATCCTAGCTGAGTTTCATCTTAGATTGTTTTCCATTGGATCTAGGCTTATAGTTGCTGTTAAAGAGCTAATGACTAATATCAAGAGAATACTGTTTTAATCATTAAAATATGGGTCAACATCCAAATTCCTTGTGATCTCCTAATTTCTCCAGTACACTTCTAATCATTTCAAACATAACAGTGGACTGCATGATTATTTTTCAGTATGTTTGCTTTGCAAAAATATTAGAGCAGTGTTTCCCATAGCAGGTTCAGCAGAACACTACACTCGAAAAAGACTCTGTAGAAAGGGTTGCATGATCAAATTAGTTTGTGAAATTTGCTCACCCTCCCACTTCTGACTTGAAGATTCACTAATGTACCTAAGCTATTAGAATCTCTGTCACAATTCTATTAATATGATCTTTCCTAAACACATATAAGGATCTAAGGATCCTTTTTTCTTTCTGTGTAACACCTCGGTATACCACTTGATTTAGATGCTTCAAGGACCACACTTTGGGAAACATTGCTTTATAGCCCCTTCATTACAAATGAATCAGCCAAGCCTCCTTAACCACCACTCACACAACGTGCTACTGAATCATGCTAAAAATCAACTGAATCAGATAATTCCTGCCCATTTCATTCTGAAGTATGAGCAGCAAAATATTATAGCAAGTAATCTTGTTTTTTAATGCTCTTCTCATGTAACAGTAAAAGGTACATGTTTTTAAGTTCCAATACTACTGTATTTAACAGGACATTTTTAACTGATTAAAATCTAGATCTTGGGTTCTTCTCTGGAACCTTTCACCTTTTCTTCTTTCCTTATTCCTTCTTTCTTTTCTTTTTCTTCCTTTCTCTTTTTCCTTCCAGTATCCATCCATCACTCATTTTTAATTGTGTGGGTTGCATGCTCTGTGTGTGCTATAGCAGCTTTAAAGGCTTTTTGGCTAGAAGATTCAATGGCCTGTTTTACAGGGATTTTCTTTTCCTTTATTATTATTTTTTAAGTACTATTGGATTTCCATTTGTTTCTTAATGATAACTATTGAATAGCTAATATCGTAGAGTGAAAGTAATGTTTTTAAAAATTCCTAAATAAGATATGTAAAAACATCGTGTATAAACATTTTTATTTGCTATTATGTCTATCATATACATAGACATATGTCACATCTGTATACATATATTCAAAAATATTGTCACACATCATTAAAAGGTAAAATCCAAAGGAAAGCACAGCTACTCATAAAAAGGCCAAATTTTTTCAGCAAATGAAATCAAAATGATTTTGAGCCAAAGTCAAAATCAATGTGGAAGACTATACTTTGTGTTCTCAGAAGAATGCAGCAAAATAATTAAGTGGTGGTGGGTATCTCTTGTTAGAGTTGCATTCCATTTGGTGAAAAATAAGAATATATTACAAAATATTAAAATTAATGTATATATATATTATTTTAACTCTTTTTCCCTTCCAACAGTTTTTCTTTGTCCTGGACTACTAAAAGGAGTATACCAGAGTGAACATTTGTTTGAGTCCGACCACCAATCTGGGGCATGGTGCAAAGACCCTCTGCAGGCTTCTGACAAGATTTATTATATGCCCTGGACCCCCTACAGAACTGATACCCTGACCGAATACTCATCCAAGGATGACTTCATTGCTGGAAGGCCAACTACAACCTACAAGCTCCCTCACAGGGTGGATGGCACAGGATTTGTAGTGTATGATGGAGCTTTGTTCTTCAACAAAGAGCGCACCAGGAACATAGTAAAGTTTGATTTGCGGACTAGGATAAAGAGTGGAGAGGCTATCATAGCAAATGCCAATTACCATGATACCTCCCCTTACCGATGGGGAGGCAAATCTGACATAGACCTGGCAGTGGATGAGAATGGGCTATGGGTAATCTATGCAACAGAACAAAACAATGGTAAAATTGTCATTAGTCAATTGAACCCTTACACCCTACGGATTGAAGGGACTTGGGATACTGCATATGATAAAAGGTCAGCTTCCAACGCATTTATGATTTGTGGGATTCTGTATGTGGTCAAGTCTGTATATGAGGATGATGACAATGAGGCCACAGGGAATAAGATTGACTACATTTACAACACTGACCAAAGTAAGGATAGTTTGGTGGATGTACCCTTCCCCAATTCATACCAGTACATAGCAGCTGTGGATTACAACCCCAGGGACAACCTTCTTTACGTGTGGAATAACTATCACGTCGTGAAATATTCTTTGGATTTTGGACCTCTGGATAGTAGATCAGGTAAGTTTGACTTTTAAGGGTACTCCAGGGGGAAATATTTGCAGTTTGTTCTCAATAAGTTTATTGTATGTTTTGGTTAGACTTTCTTTGTGGCCTTCCTTCTTGCCTGTGTACCTGAAAATTGTTCATTGTCTTTTCATCTAAAAAAATGTTGCTCGTAATACTTTCAGTTGTTAAAAAGTAGAAGAAACTGACTCTCCTTTGTGCAGCTAGTTTCCAATCTTTATCTCTTCTTTGAATGACATATTTATTATCAGCTGGCCCATTCATTGTGAAGTATACAAAGCCTTTGCTAAAATAGTCCGCCATCCTGTCTAATTAATTGTGGCATGCCCTCTGAACTCAAAGGGTTGGAAAACGTCAGACAGTTGGCGTGATATAATACGTCAAGAGCCCTACACCAGTATATTCACCTAGCAGAGAGCATCATTTGTGACCACCCCTATTGAGAATATTGTTAGTTTGAGTCTGAGTTATATTTCTGAGTGTACCTCATTGATATATACAGAAAAATGTTGATAACATAAAGAAAAAATAGATCTCAATTTTATTAAAAAAAACTATACAAAACACAGCTTTGAGTAAAGTTGAGATGATCTTTAATTCCCATTCTTTAAAAGGGACTTTTTCCCCTCTAGGACATACTGTTTCCTTTTAATGTTGTTTAAAGACAATCATAAATTGCCTTATTTTAAAAAATTTTTATTTGTACAACTGAGCAGAATTATCTTAGTTAAAAGTTAAATTATTTTAACAAGCAATAATACTGTTCTCCGTGATAAAGTATAAGGGAAAACTAAGACAAAGGTGTCTGAATTTTGATAGTGATATAGGAATTCAAAGATTAAGTTATTTTTTTCATTCACTGTTTACATGTTAATATTTCTTATTTTCTGCATTATTTTTACCATGCTTTTACTAGCATGCCATTCTACTTCCTAACTTAGTTCATTATATACATGTCTTCTATACAACTAGATTCTAAGTTCCATATGGCCAATGACCTTGCCATACCCACTCTCTTATTATATATATATATTTTTCATTATATTTTTATCTGACCATTATTTCTGCCTTCTCAGACATAAGTGTAATATATGGCATATATAAAATAAAGTCTCAACAACTCATTGTTGATTGAAGAATGAATGACTTTCCACTTCCTATACTGATAGAATGTCAAATGAGGTGACATTTTCTCTCATCTCTGAGAGGTCTTGGTCAGAGTGACAGCAATTCTTTCCATGGCCAGCAATGCTGATATTATGTTGAATTGCCTCTCATGGAAGGAGAAGCCTAAATATGCAGCAGCAACAAAAGCCACTTCTCCTTACTCAGTCCTCAAAAAATCCCCCAGGTCAAGTGCAGTCTCTGGCTCGCCTCTCTACAGGTAAGGTGTTCCAATCCAATATACCCTTCAGTTGAGAACCTAAGCAAGAATCAATTATCTGGGGTATTCTGGGAAGACAATTCTTTCATAGCTGTGATGTTCCTTAACCACAATTTATATGTCACTGAAAACTCTGTTGAACGGTGGTTCTTAGCCTTTTTTGACTGTTAATTGGAACAGGAAGTAATTTCTAATTGCCTGCAAAGAAATAATAAATAATGGCTCATCATCATCTTTTGGGATTAAACAGTGCATAATGGGCAATAATGTATTTCAAATTTTATTTATTGGAAATATCATGCATTATTTTTATTTAGAATAATAGGTTAAAATTAATTAGAATTCTAGGTTTTGATTTGATAGACTAAAGCAAATTATTAGCTTAACTATTATAAATTATCCTTAAAGAGTAAGATGATACCATAGTCCCATGTATTTAGAGACTTGCCAAAAAAATATTTCTAACATACATTAATAAACTTATATGTGTGTGTAACCTTATGTATGATAAATCATTGTAATTGTGGACAAAAGGAAAATTATACTACTCATTTAATTTTGTTTATTTATGAGAGTTAAAATATGGGCCATCTTGCCCACATGTACTAGTGTTCATATTTCTTAAAAGTGGCAAACACTGATAACTGATAAAGTTCAGATTCTGAAAACAAATTCCTAAGCCAGGAGATTTGGTTTTCACTCTTTTTAAATGACACAGCAGACCTTCTCTGCTTGGCAAAGAGTGAGATTTCACCTGTATTAAATTTGTAAGTAGCATCACAAGAAAAAGTATCAATTTTCATGCATGAACACGCAAATTAAAAAGTTCGTACTTTGGCATGGACTTACTGCAGTTTAGAGGTGGAAAGAATAAGTGTAGAAGTACATTTTATGCATGATATGTGTGGATGTGAGGATTTCAATTAGCATTAATAGAGGCTGTTCATCTCATTCCACACATTTTCAGCTGGGTGTTTTTCTTTAGTAAATTATGTTGACATTTTTCAAAGAAATTGCCTCTAGTGAATTCCTATTATGCATCTTCTTATGTGTCTATGTACGGAAAGTAACTTATTGTAAATATGTTGGGGTCAAAAGACTAATTTTGAGTGTAGAGCTAAAGTATATTTGCTGTTGCTATCAGTTCGAAGCAGGCTGAGTATTTTTTTGCTCTGATTTTAACTGAGTTCTACTCAATGAAATTTTACTCTTTTGAAGTTTATATGTAAAGGAGTAGCTATATTTTACTTCTACTGAATTTTATACCATTCTGTACGATAAAGGATCTGGGTGCTGGAAGTTGAGGCAAATATGTTTCTCTTCGGTATATAAAAATCCTCTGGTGAAGCGTACATGTAAGTGGCGTAGGGCTCCTGAACATGGGCTTGGGAGGCTGAAGTGCTGGGTTTGAATTCTGCCTCCAGTGCCTGTTTGACTGTGGGCAGGTTGCTCAGTCTCTTGGTCTTCATTTCCTCAGCTGTAAAATGGAAAAAACAATACCTACCTCAGAAGATTATTATTAGATTTTAATGAGATGATATATGTAATAGACATAGCAAGCTTAACCTAATAGCCACTCACTAACCCTATTAGAACCATAATGTCCACATATTCTAAATGAGAGACCTAAGGCACTAGAGCTCCTATAACTTATTCAAAAATCGCACAGCTATTCAACAGCAGCCTGACTTCAGATTCACCCTCCCCTGGGTGACGCAAGTAGTGGAAAGTATGCTTACTGAGGCTGCGTGTCTAGATTCATTCATTTGATGGAAGTGATCTCAGTATCTCCATGTGCCAGGCTCTCTAGATGCAAATCTAATTTGTAGTTCTCACAATTGCATAATTACTGTAGATTTGTGCTCTGAAAAATTGTATCTATTCTTGAACCATAAAATCAGATGTATTTTTTTTTTAATAGGAATCGATTTTAAATTCTGAAATGGTAAACTTTAAGGAAGAATATGAAGAAAAACTTTGCTTCTCAGATATATCCTAAAAAGTAGTTTCAAAAGTCATTTCATTCCACTTCCTGACTTTTCCCAACACCTGGTCTCAAACTGCTAGTTATCCTGTATTTTTTCAGGTTGGCTCAGTTACATGGCATTATGTTTGGAAAAGAAGGACAATGTCCTGGGCAATGGTACAATTTGTTAAGTGTGTTGTTTTCAACAATATCTGTATAAAGAAATTAATTTGATTTTGATTTTTTTAAAACATTTCAAATATTCATCGTTGACTATAAGTCAGGTTTCTCCTTTGAAAGTTCTTTAATGGGCCTATTCTTCAGGGAAAAGTTTAAAACTTGTTCTCGTTTTTCTCTAAAAACATTTTCAGAACATTAGACTGTCATCACTTACTCTGCATTACATTAAATGCAAGTTTGCCAGCATCTTTTGTAGTTTTCCAGCAAAAAGTTAGTGGGAAATTGAATCAGAGCTTATTTGATATTGCTATTCATATAACAATTTATATTTGTAAATTTTGTAGAAACAACTTTTTAATAATATAGTTATATTTTGCAGGTTAAAGAACATACAAACACAAGAAAACTTCCAGTTTATAAAACGCTTTTGTTCAGTAACTCTTGAGACTGATTCACATTGAAATAATCTTGTCGATATTGTTTTAGCCATTTTTGTTTCTAAATCCTTATGACGTGCCTGATGAATAGCAGGTCCTCTGTTAAGACTTGCTGAATGATTTAAGAAAACATAATATATATTTTTAAGAAATATATATATATGTATATGTTTAAGAAACTTCTTATTCAGAATATTATGGGAATGGGAGTACTACTCCTAAAATTTGTTTTATTAAGATTACATGTATGCTTCTCAGGTAGTTATCTTCACTGTTGGCCACACACTTCCATAATCTAGAAGTTTTATAAATCACCCCAGTCATTCCCCACCCACTCTTAGCCTCTTCCCTTCTTCACTCAAATCGAGGTCAGCTTTGATAAAGGAAGTTTAGCAGGTGTTAAGGAGATGTGCCAAAGCACGTTAACACCTAATGTGCTTTCTTCTAGAAGTAATTAGAAGAAATTAAAGTCAGTAGTCTTACAATAGGGAAGTAAGTGAGCAACTGTTGAATGACTTTTATATTCAGAACATATTTTCAAATTTTTCAGTTGGCAAATTGCAGGAATTTCTTCAACTTAGAGAAAATGGAAAGTGTAGTATATTCAGAAATGAATAATAATTGTGTTCTATTGAAAATACATTTTCTCTGCAAAATGAGTGATTCAGTTTTGGACACCTGTATCAAAAATGCTTGTAAGCATTAGTACCTGAGTATAAACGTGAAAATTCTTTCTCTATTTATTCGGAGCAGAGTACCAAATCTAGAACTATCAGATCTTTTCTTGAAATGTACTTTTAACTGAGCCTTTTTCCTATTTTATAAAATATGATATGAACTATACATTCATCAGTTGCCTCCAATTGGCTATCTTTTGTAAGCTATACATTAAAAACCTCCAAATAATACTTAGCTATTTCACGGGTTATTTGAGTGATTCTCAGGGTGGCATCATAATTCTATATCCAGTGTGAGGGAACCAAACAGTTGTATCACTTGCCTTTAGCTACTATTAGTGACTGGTGTT